TATGAATTGGCTCAGCATTCACATTACTTCAGTACATCAAGACTGTTGTGTTGTGATTTTAGAAAAGATGTTTGTGGTGCTTTCTGTAAAACAACAGAGGGTTTCAGCTCCTTTGAGTCAATAATGAATGAGCAGTGTCCTAGCAATATCTGGAACGCTGCGCTTGTGACTGAGTGCTCCCTCAGCGCTGAGACGAAATGTGAGATTGCTAATCACAAATGCAGGATAATTAACTGTGAGACACAGACAGCTTGGCTGTGTCAGACTGTATTTATACACGGTGGTGTTGTGCTGTTAGGTGGAAGTGTACATAAGTAGCCATTGGAAGAGTTTGTGTAGGGAGAGCATGTGGCAGGATGATGCTCTGGGAAAGGGATGCGGGCACTGCATGAGTTCAGGAAAGGAAGCAGGCACAAATCAAAGGGACTGAAAAAAAAAAGAGAGGAAGTTGGAAGGCTTACAGGTAAAATACGGGGTAGCATCACCAGTTTGAAAGTAGCATAGCCATATTGAAGATATACACCTTGCATAAAGGTGTTAAAGTTGTCTTTTAATAATTCTTTATGACGTGAAATATGAAAGATTTTCAGAGTAAGCTTCCTTCTAATTAGTTACACTAATATTTTTTTCCCCTAAGACCTGCTGATAAGAAATCTGTGCTTCCAAAAGGCATAAGCACCAGCAGGGTAAACCCTAAATAATCATCTTTCATTTGGGGTTCAACATGCTGAATGGAATATTTCAGTAGGTCGCTAACATATGAGCAATGACATCACATTTGCTGTGCGGTATCAGAGAGCTGGTCTTAGTGCCTGGGATTATTCCAATTGCTGCAATGCTTTCTATTTAATCCGTGGTATTACAGGCTTGATCTTACATTAAAAGAATTAAAAAGGAATCTGCAGGACGTTACTTTTTTTTTTTTTCCTGAGTTGATGTAATAATCATTAGCTGAAGAGATTCTTGGTTCATATAACACCAGAATGACACAAAGGAATTAGGTCGGTATGGTAATAATTTATTTTATGCAGGATCATGGAAAAGAATTACGCTTTGCCACAGAGTTTTTGAAGGCCATGGTTATAGTTGCAAAAATAGTTCTGAACTTGGTTAAAAATAGTGAACTTAGTATTGTCAGACATGCTTCTATAAAGTCCGTGCATTGCCATCCGTTCCGGTTTGTCTGGAGTTACCCACATTAATGATCTAAAAATAACTTCCAAGGTTTGCAGTAGGATCACCATTGGTGCAAAGTGATTGCAGCTTCAATGCAACTTCTGCTTTATCTTGCTGGCTTGGCTTGTGGCAGCACAGCTTTGGTTTGGTTGGCTTTTTTTCCACTCCCCCAGTTTTCCTGATCTGAGAATCTAAGCAGCAGGAGTCAGTCACTCTCATAAACATCTGACAATCAATATTTCCTCTTAGCATGAATCACCGAGTTCAATGTGCTACCACTTTGATTCTTTCAGAAGAAAAATAAGCTCAAACCCAATATTTCCCTTCTTTTTGGGTCATCTCTTCATACTTTCTAGAACATTGCCATGGTAACTCATGCATTATTTTTTATATTTTTGTAGCCTGAATTATAATGCAGGTCATTTCTGGTTCCCTCTTCTGCCACTTACGCTGAGGCACTCACATAGCAGGTGCTTGCATGGAAGAGACAATACAGCATCCAAAAGAGAAGTAAACCCACTATCTTCTAAGCATCCAGATTCTCAGTGCCAAGATGAGCTTGAACTTACATTGTGTGCACTGGGTGTCAAGGAGAGGCCTCTTTGTAGAAGAGTTTGGAAGCAAGTAATAGTAGTAAGGACAATATAAAGATGACTTTGTTGAGATTTGTTTACGAGGGACTGTTTGTTGCCATCTGACAGTGCAGTAGGAAATTCTCACACTCGTTAGTCTGAGGTTTCCATAGCAGAGCTACCAGGCATCATTGCAAAAATGACTTCAGAACATGTCTTTAAGAAAAAAGCTTCCTTGCACTGTTTTATAAAGCGTCTCATTTCCAATTCTGATTCCAGGTTGGACTGGGATTTTATTTCTTTTCTGTTGCCTTCTTGGATGTAGGATTGCTTGGAATTGCTTTGATGTTCACTGATTTTGTGCTGTGTTGTGTTTTGTTTTGTTTTTCCCCTGAGATTTGCACTTTTTTATCATGCAGGTCTTTAAATGGGTCCTTCCTAAACCTCAAGGTTGATATCTTACTATTTCTGCCTGTCAGAGGAAGAATTGCAATACACTGAATATCATTAAAACTGCCTGCCATGGGCGGGGAGCTGCCACAGCTGGGGCACATTGTGTGGTGCCTAAAAAGGACTCAGAGACCTGCAGTGCTTTGGAATTTCCTTACCTGTGGAGTTTGGGTGCTATTATTGCTGTCGGGTCAGTGCCACCCTTCTGCTTGTTCTTTAGGTTTCCTCACTGGCTGTTTCTGGGCATTTTCTTTTTGACTACAATTAGAACTTATTAATGATTAAGGAATGAAAAAAAGGCAATGCCAGGACAGCTCTCTCCCCACTCGCTTAGGGATCCCAGCTGGCTTGTAGCTTTGCAGCTCGATTTGCTTGTACAGTCAATTGCACAATATTCACCTGGTGTTAAGACACCACAGATTGAACCCCAGATCTCCTGCTTTGGTGGAAACAAACCTGTGATTAGAGTCACAGAATCACGGAATTACGGTTGGAAAAGTCCACTAAGATCACATCCAGTCCACCCCCACCACGTCCACTAACCCACGTCTCTCTGTGCCACATCTCCACGGTTCTGGAACACCTCCAGGGCTGGTGACTCCATCCCTCCCTGGGCAGCTGTGCCACTGCCTCACTCTGTGCTGCACTGTCTCTTCCTGCTGCAGGGAACACAACCTCCTGGGCACCGTGCCTGGCACCTCACCCCGCAGCCCCATCCCTGCAGGAGGACGCGTCCCCACTGGGTGGGCAGGGCAGGGCAGGGCTCGTGTTCTCTCTTCCTGACTCCCTGCAGAGCTGCAGGCTTCGGCCCTGTGCTCTGCAGGGTTTGGCTGATGGTGCCGGGGCCAGGCGCTGTGTGAGGGTCACCTTTGGCCCAGGCAGGGGTGACTGGGGCAGATGTTCAGGTGGAGAACTGCACGGAGTTGTCTCCCAATGTGTCACAGAGACCATTTCAGTGTTTTGGAGGTATCCTTTGCTGTTCTTCCTCTCCGAGCTAATATAAAATGCTTAGAAGTTTGACCATCGTGACTTCAGAGTCTTTATTTACCAATAATGTAGTTAATTACTTATGTAACGTGTGCGTGGTATTTTTCCTGGTTAACAGAGGAAGTAGAAGATTTGCTTGGCTGCAGAATATGCAGTGATCCGTAAGGAGAAATGCCACGTAGAAGTAAAGAACTTGTTATTCATTGTTTAGCCCTGAGGAACTAAGAGGTCTGCAAAAAGCAGCCAGATTGATTTCTATAGGAAATATGTCAGGAATTTCTTCGATTCAGTCTTCCATATATCTGATGAAGTGAGAAATGAATTACTTTTTATTTCAGTCACCTATTGCTGAATCACTGGGCTTTGGCTCCCCCCCCCAAAAGGCCACACTTCTAAACTCTTATGACATACTGGAGATCTGAAGACCATTAGTTGTATTGAAGACATGGCTTCCACAATTCTTTAAGTTAAGAAAACAACTTTCATAAATAAGGCACTTTAATCAGCACAGTATCAAAAATTGTTAATAAAGATAACATTACCTCCCTAGCAAGGGACATAACAGCACCACAACAAAACGTAACAGGACATTGGTGGGAAGGTTCAATCAGTACTGCCATCCCACCATCTGCCTCTGACACTGTGGGCCTGCAAAATAAAACAGGAGGCATTGCTTTCAGAGCACCACAGCTAGATCAGGTTGCCCAGGGCCAGGATCTGGGCATCTAAGCTAAATCCACTGTTACATAAAGCAGTAGAAGAGCTGAAGTTAATGGGAAACTTTTTAATGAGTGAGTCCAAATGATGCAATAGGGAACAGCTGTGTTGTTTTTTTTCTTGACTTTCAAATGTGTGAGAGTTGGTTTTCTCAAAATGAGCCTTTTTTTAAAGTGTAGTTACTGAGATACAGACAGTTGTGCTTCTGAGTATTTTTCTAGAGGACAGCAAGAATGCTGGTGTTTACAAGATGTTCTCTTATATAAATATTTTTGCTACTCTCTGTTGTTACTGAAACAAACAAACCAACCTGGCAGACCTGATTCATGCCTGGGGGAGGGTGTGTTTTGTGGATGTTGGTTTTGCAGCTCCTTTTTATAGCCTGGGCTCAGAAGGGAAACGGGAGGAGGGGTAGGATAGCGTGTGGGGAGAGAACCAAGAGGGCTGCAGGAAGTGGATGCCCACCCCACAGCTTCCTAAAAGGCTCAGCTGGACAGTGGCAGAGCAGTGGGGTTCTCTTTGTGCATCGACTTGGTCTTCCAGCCTGAGAGTGGATATGCACGTGCTGTTCCCATCTCACAGCAGTGCTCTGGCAGTCCCACTGACACACATATCCTCTCCTGCCTAAAGACCTTTTCTGTTTCCACAAAGGCTCAGCCAGTGCCAGCTTTCTGGCTTGCAGGCAGGTGCACCGTGCTTCAGAGCTTCACGGCACTGCTGCTTCATACTGGAGGTACAGAAATGGACTGCTGCAGGTTCCCATACGGTGAAAGGGCTCACGGTGCCACATTGCGTGTTTGGTGGCTTCAGGTCAGCAGTCAGCTTCGTGCTCAGTACTCTGGGGATGTTCCTGTTTGGTGGCTTCTGGGTTGGCTTCTAATGAATGACTTGTTCCATTTTGGTTTTGTTTAATTGCAAAGCATCCAAACGGGATGAAAATTTTTATAGCACTCGGGGATATCAGAAAGGATGCCTTGTTTCTTCATTAGGAACAGCAGAGATACCAAATCTGTCCTGCTGCTGGAAGACAGCGCAGGGGAGTGGTGTGGAGTTTTGAGATTCAGAGCTCCATCTTCTTTCTTTTTTATCTATCTTTAGAACTTTGTGGACTGTGTAAACTAACGGAGTGTTACATGAGACTAAACCCAGCTCTGAGCAGCCCGATTTACTGCCCCCTCCTTCACATTTCAGGTTAGTCTACATGAGAATGTGGTAATTACACAGCTATCATCCCATACTTACAGCCAACTTTTAGCTGCTTTATGGACAAAAGTGTGCTTTACTTTTACTTTACACTTAGACTTGCATAAGGTGGCATGCACAGTCTTAGTGTAACTCAAGAGTGTCCTTTTGCTCAATTTACTTCTCTTTTAACTGGCACAACCTGAAGTGGGGAAAAAAGCTGAATTATGCCTTAGGCTCCTGCAAAACCACTTCCACCAGAATTGGGAGCTTTGTTCTGCTCGCACTCACCTTGTGATTAAGCTGTAAAAGCAGCTGATGCAGATCTTAAGGGTTGCATGGGCAGACCTTGCCTTGGGGAAACTTGCTTGGGAATACAGGCTCACATGACCTGAGGTACGCAGTTGTGACCGGAAAGCCCGAGTTTTCAGCATGAGTCTGGCGGCAGATTCATCCTGCTGAGGATTGTGACCCAGGGCTGCGTGTGGTGCCGTCAGTCCTTCCTAAAAGGTCTGCCCTGTTCTGGTCATTTCAGTAAGAATGATTCACTCCAGCGTGGGAATGTGATGTGGTTTCAGTATGATGCTTCCGAGAGCCTCAGGCTGTAAATCACAGAGTCACAGAATGGCCAGGGTTGGAAGGGATCTCAAGGATGACCAATCTCCAACCCCCCTGCCACAGGCAGGGTCACCAACCTCTACATTTAATACCAGACCGGGCTGCCCAGGGCCCCATCCAACCTGGCCTTGAACACCTCCAGGGACAGAGCATAGGAAGGGTTTCATTTGCCTTTCTCCCACAATCTCCTAAGCTTGCAAACACATCTTCTTCTGGCAGATGTGACCTATGTTTTTAATAACTCTTAATCAGACAGGAATCTACAAGAAAGCCCACTGCCAAATAGAGGTAAGCTGTGAAATTCCTCACCAAACATTTGTTTATGTGTGCTGTCCAGCTGTAATTATGTTCTACAGAGGCATTCTGTGTATTTCCTACGTGGGCTGTAGCACTGAGGTATGTGACAGCAACCATTGTCAAAGACAAGAAAGTGTGAAAGCTGTTGCATCCACGTCCTGTCTGCATGGTTATTGATCCCAAATGTTGCTGTCCCAATCATTTAATGAAACGCTGGTGGACTGTACTGAGTAATATTGTAGGGGTGAATAGTTAAGAACAGCCTGAGCATAACTGCTTGCCCTGCTTGCCACAGGTCTGCCCTAACAGTCATTTGTGTATTCTACCTGACATGCATCAGTTACACGACATACTGAATTTTCATTGAACAAAGTGGCAGTAAAGTTCCTTTTAATCCCATGAAACCTTTCCTAATCAGAAGCACTCTCACACTAAATACATAATTCATCTCTGCACTTGGTCAGTCGGATTCCTTGGCAGTTAGCACATGAAATAATGCACGCTTCAAGAAGATGGATACATCCAGTATAGCTATGAGAAGGGTCTTCCCCGTGCCTGAATAGCAGCATCAGGGAGATGCAGTTGTATTTGAGGACACAGAAATTTACAGTGCACGATGCTTTCATTTTGCCAGGTTTGCTTTCTTAAAGAACTGGACTTGGGTGTAAATGTGTCGTTTTATCTCCTCCATTTCAAGCTTTCAGTCGCTCTTTGGATTTCTCCTTTGAACTGTGGTAGCTCCCCATGTGAGTGATGTCAGGCAGGAATCCTGGCACAGCCATTGCATGCACTTCATGTGTTCGATCAGTGACTTCTGCCACCTCATTTCCTTCCTGTTAGCATTCTTCTGGCAGGGCCTTTTGTCATTATTGTACACAGAACCCTCCCTTGGCTCCTCCATCAGAGTCTTGGCTTGCCTGTCGCCTGCTGGTTTTTACAAAAAACAGAACAACCCAATGCCCTTGTGAGGATGAGAGAAGGTAAAAGGTGGAACTATCCTGATGTCTGTGGAAAAAGAATGCTTATGTGAAATGTGAAATGTGAAATTTAGTGAGAAATTCAGTTGTAAAAATGGATGGTTTGCATCTGTATGACGACTTTACCCTTGCACATGAACTATTTGTTCTGTGAACGTAAATAACACTGAAGTGTTTTTGTCAGACGAAAAAACATATTTTGAAATAATGACAGAAAGTGAGTGTGCTCGAAACCCAATGGGAACTGCAGATGCTCTCCTGCAGTGTCTGTGCTATGTACAGAAATTCTGTGCACGTTCAGCTATTCCAGTTGCTAAAACTATTCCAATATCTCATAAGGAAACATCCCTTCATATTTGCTGCACTTTCAGTTCCAAATACTTGCAGTGTGTTCCTCTGCCACTGACAGTGCTTCACCCGGAGTGGCCTTTGCTATGCAGTCACATTCCCTGTGGCCTCAAACGTTTCCTCTGGGAGAATCACCACAGGAAGTTCTTGGTGACTGCAGGCATACCATGGATAATACCAAAGGCCTGGAGATCTCAGGAGGCCTTTTCGCATTTGTATTTACTAATGAGTACCATATGATTAGAAATTCTCTCTCTATGTATGCTTTATTTTCTGAGCTCCCTTGTAGCTCTTTTACTACACCCCAGCACCCATCCTGTCAGAGAATAACAAATCAGTGCCGCTGCTTAACTTGTGAATGTACACTGATGCTAGAGTGGAGCTCAGTTGACGTGTGCCCTCTTTGGCAGCAGCAGGCTGGCCTCCAGCATATACTGCTCTTGTTTGGTATGTTGGTTGCAAACTTGTGGGAGGTAGAAAACCTCCTCCTCTTGACCAGAAGTAAAGGAGATACAGGATATAAATCAGCAGGAAAGCAGAATGCGCTATGCCTCTTCTATTGTATCTCTGAAAAATTATCATCTTTCTCAACTCCTGCTTTTGCAATTTTGTTTTGTAGGAATCTGAATTTCTCTGCCTGGAGTTTGATGAGGCCAAGGTGAGCCAGATGCTGAAGAAACTCTCAGAAATAGAGGACAGCATGACTGCATTGACTCAGACCACCTGACTCACAGAAAATAAAGAGATTGCAACTCAAAAAAACAAATGACCTCAGTACTTATTCATAATGCCTGTTCCTGTATATAAAATAGGTAATGATTGTTAAGTATCAGTTATAACTGTACAACACATTCAGAACAAAGCATGGGTGAAGTTAAGCTGTAAAGCTCTCTCCAGCCCCTCCTCCAGGCCTGTTCTCCAAGGCAGCAGTGATGTTGCTTGCATAAAGCTTTGCATAATCATCCCTTCGAGTTTAGAGTAGCTTTTCTCTTTTTTTTTTTCCTACCTACCCATCAGTTTTTTACTGTTCCAGATGCTGTAAATGCTGCACCGAGTGAACAGCAAAGGTAAATTGGCCAGTTGTGGCAGGAGAGAAATGAGCAGAAGGAACAGACAGACTAGGGGGATTTGTGTTTATCCTTCCAAACCATGGGCTATGTAGGACAAATCTACCTACGCAAACTCTGCCTGCCTAGAGCTTGGAGCACAGGAGATGAAGTGCAGAGAGTTGAGGGAAAAGAGACACAGACACACTTTTTTCTAATCACAAGCCTCTGTGCTGCTGAGGATGAAGCAAATGGTTCCCAAGCACGTGAGTTGTCCCTGCCGGGCCGCTGATAAACACTCACCCCATGCCACAGAGAGCCAGGGGGCGGCCATGGCAGCATCTCTTGGGCAGCTCAAGGTGACACTGGTTTCCCAAAAGCCTGATGTAGTGACCTGCTGGCAAGCTTCCAAAGCCACTTCTAGCCTGCTTCCCTGAAGGCTGGCCGCCCCCGTTCGCCTTCCAGCTCCTGAGCCTTACGTGGCACAGCCCTGGCGTGGTGCTGCATGCTGTGTTTGAGAGACCAGTACTTTGTCAGTGCACGATTTAACTTGGCTGCTCTTTACCATGATGTTTGTCTTGACCTTGAAAACTCCCAGGCTAAACCCAGAGTTTGTAGTGTGGGTGTGCTCAGCTAGGAATCCTCAGAAGGAAAATGGCCTTGGCAAACGTGCAGATTATAAAGCTCTACTGATAAAATAGTTGTGTGAAGAAAACTTCCAAAGGCAGATAAGGTACATACAGAGCATCATGACTGAAACTGAGCTGTGGCTTTTTTGCCTGTTGTGGGAACCTGCCTCTCTCCCTCGCCATAACACAGAACTGCAGTGCAGCCAGGGGGGAATGAGCTGAGATGTTTTGTTTCACATGTTTCAGTTCACAGGGGTTGTCCACTTTGCCACAACAGGAGCATTAATTCCTGCCTTCCCTGTGCAGGATGACATGGAGGAGCTGCATGGAGCATGATGGTTCCTACTGGAGAACTGCCTGATAGTCCGTAGAGTAGTGATGGAGCACAACCCTGGTGTGCTGCTCTTGTTACTAACACGGAGGCATGCTCACACATTTGGTTGGAGGCTACGCTGTTTCTTCCTTTGCTTCATAAGCAAACTTCTCCTTAGCAAAAATCATATTGGCTGTCTGTACTAAGCTAGAGATGCCATAACTAAATGCTCCTCGCTGATTCCCCGTATGATTTTTTTGCTTGTAGAGTTGCCAGATTGTACTTGGAAGCACACACTCTTTTCAGAGCAAAGAAAGGGCACCTCTTCCCATCTCCCTGCTCAGGAGGTAAAGCATCACTCAAGCCGATTTGTATCGCTGCACTCGGAATTAACATTTGCTTTCCCATGCTTCTGCCCGACCCTTACAGCCACCTGCTTCTCCCCTCTTTCTGGAATGAGCACACAGCTCCAGCTCTTTACTTTCCCCATTTGGCTGCAGCTGATACTTGTCAGAGTGGAACAGGGGACTGCTGAGCCTGGTCCTCACACCAGTCCCTGGATAATCAGAGGAGTGAAACGCTGAGTGGTTGCTGATTCTTTTGGATTTCTACTTGCCTCTTCTCAATGTTCATTTAATTATTTTTCCGCATTTTAGCACATGCAAAAAAAAAAAAGAAAAAAAGTCAAGGTCAGGGAAGGATCGTGATCTTAAGTAACTTGCACTGTGTCAAACATACTTATTGTTTTATTTCAACATGGTCAGAGGATAGGAAAATGTGCTATAAATGGAAATTAAAGAGAAACAAACTGGGAACAGATGTCAGGAAGTATTATTTCATACAGAGAATAATAAATACGTGAAATGGCTAACCAGGCAAGGCAAGGCAAGGAGGCTGAGGCAAAAAGAGATGGGGCCATTGAGGAAATGATTGGACACTTTCCTAGTAGCGGTAAGATGTTTAAATTGAATCCTTCTCATTTTCTTCTTGGTGGATCTTAGTAAACTACCAGGCTAGAAAAAAAAAAGCTTAATATTTTTGGGACCACACTGCTCAACCCTTGGTAAGGACACAGAGTCACTGGACAGCAAAATCGTTTCTGCTTCACAAGCTTTGACATGGGCAGGCAGAGGATGCTGTGCTTTCTCAGACTGAGCAAGGAGAACAGATTTCCCCCTTGAGCAGGATTGTGCCTGCTTTCGTCTGAGAGTGGTGGAGGAGAAGAGGCTTCAGATGCAGCTCTGCTATGCTTCCTTGAGTGAAGGACCACTTGGCTCTTTGTTGGTATGCATGGGCTATTAGCCTGCTATCAGTGATCCTACTAAATATACTGAATGTACTGAATACAAAGCCACATGCAAGGCTGTCTTGTACCTGGGTCGTGGCAACCTCTGCTATCAGTACAAGCTGGGGATGTAAGGATGGAGCACAGCCCTGCTGAAAAGAACCTGGAGTGCTGGTGGATGGCAAGCAATGTGCCCTCACAGCCCAGGAAGCCAACCAGATCCTGGGCTGCATCCAAAGCAGTGTGGGCAGCAAGATGAGGGGGGTGATCCTGCCCTTCTGCTCTGTGCTGTGAGACCTCAGCTGCAGAGCTGCGTCCAGATGGGGAGTCCTCAGCACAGGAGAGACACTGACCTGTTGGAGTGCATCCAGAAGAGGGACACGAAAATGTGTCCCCTACAAGAACAGGCTGAAAGAGCTGGGGCTGTGCAGCCTGGAGAAGAGAGAGAAGGCTCCAGGGAGACCTGAGAGCGGCCTTTCAGTATCTAAAGGGGGACTGTAGGAAGGAAAGGTACAGCCTCTTCACCAGGGCCTGTGTGACAGGACAAGGGGAAATGGTTTCCAACTAAAAAGAGAAGACTTGGATTGGACACAAAGAAGTTGTTTTTATGATAAGGATGGTGTGGCAGGTTGCCCAGAGAGGTGATGCCCCATCCCTGAAGACACCTGAGGTCAGGCTGGATGGGGCTCTGAGCACCTCATGGAGCTATGGGTGTCCCTGTTTATTGCAGGAGGGTTGGTCTACATGGCCTTTAAAGTCCCTTCCAATTCAAATAATTCTGTGTTTCTGTTATCTTTGCAGTGGTGGCAGTGAAAGCTGGCCACCAGCCCCGTTTCCTGCCCTGTGGCTGCCACTCCTGCCCTCCACAACATGCTCAGTGGTTGGGGATAGAGGTCTCCAGCCATACAAAGCCCTGGATGAATTTATCCAGGAAACCTTCCACCTCACTGTGGATGAAATCGGCATTGCCACTGCCCACAGCAGTCAGTCAGGCCTGTTTCTGCCGGTGCTTTCCTACTGACGCAGGTGATGACTCCCAGAAATCATGGTGGATTCACCCCACAGCAAACAAGAGCAGGATGGGGCTGTGGCTGTAGCTCTGGCACCATGTATGACGACCTCAGATGTGCACCTCCAGAGATGCATCTCATCCCAACATCTGCTGCTTTCTGTGGCCTGTAATTAGTGAATGGCAGCCGTGTGTTGTCACAACCTTCACCTTGTTCTTCCTTTGATGTCACCTTTTGCATTGCTAATATGCCTTGCAGTTGATTCAGTCAAGCAATTCTTGTTTTCTGGGAATTCCTCCAAGTTGCCACTTGTTTATGATCTGGTGCTCCCCACATTATCTCCCAGTGCCATCACCTTCAGTCACACATTGCACAATGTGCAAGGCTTACATTTGCTATCTGGCTGCAAAAAGGTTTCTCTGGATGCAATTGTCTTTTTTTTTTAATTTGAGTCCATGTATTCCCAGAATTGCTTAATTTATAGAACATTTTTCTGGGCGTTTTGAGAGATCTGAGAGATTTTCATTTCTGTACACCGGTCCTTTATATACTTTGTTACCTATCAATAAAATCAATCACCATCTTTCTGAGTATGCTTCTTCGTTTATGTATTGACTGAACATCTGTGGATGTGTAAGTCTCTGAGAAGCTTCACCTGATGACTCAGCTTGCTCCACATTGGTGGAGGAAATGTTTTCTTCCCCTCCTGGGGAATTTGAATGGTTCATTTATTCCAAATATTCATTTATTCCAAATATTTACAGAAAGGTGCTCAGTCAGTGCTGGGTACAGACAGTGCCTTTTTAAGACAGCCTGGCCAGGGAGGCACAGAGTCCTTTGCAGCAGCCACTGATGACTGTTTGTGGCACTTTTCATGTGGTTTGTATCTGGAAAATAGATGACAACTCACTGCTGTGGAACCAGGTCTGTCAAAATCCCAGGGCTCAGGGTGCTGTTCAGCAAACGCGGAGACCAGGCTGCCAGCTACAAGCTTTGCCTCCCCAAGAAATTGAGGGGTTGAGGGAGCCCTCAACACCCTGCACCACAACTGTCCTGGCTGTAACTTCCTCCTAGTGTAGGCATTCTTGGGAAAGAAAACAAATTGAGAAATGAGAACTGAGGAACCAAGCTGCAAAAGAAAACCTCCTGTTAAGAGGTAAGTCTGGAGATTTGTGGGTGCTGGAAGGCGGTCTAAAAAACTGGGGGAAAGCCATCTTGTGCCCTTGTCCTCAGCAGAGTCCTGGGGGAAGTTTTCCCTATGATCAAAACCCCAAACGCCTTGTCCTTCCTCCTTGATTTTAGTGGTAACAAAGATCTTGAAATGCGAGAAATTGCAGGAAAACAGGTTTAAAAGGATGTCAGGAGAGCCTGCCTGGAGCATCCTGCAGGTAGCTGTTAACTTTACTGAAGCAAGCAAAGCATGCCTGGGGCTGCCTCCATGGGGAGACCACCATAATGCTGAGCTGCTCCACAGCCAGAGGAC